AAAAAAACATCAAAAATATTGTAAAAAAATTTTTATTTTAAATATGAATAATAATTTTGTAAACAATAAGTGAGGGTGTTGAAAATACTTATGTATTTAAATATGTATTTGTATTTGTATATGTGCATATAAAATGCACTCATAAGCTTATTATACTTTATTTACCAGCTTCGCATAATTGTAATACTTATAAGCATATTCTTGATACATTAAACAGTCAGTCCACTCATAAACCTCAAACCGTCGTGTTCTTTATTCTCTCTCTACAATATTAGGTTGAGACAACATTTTTTATGTTTTGATTTGTCCCAAGTTTTGGTGCTTTTAGGAAGGTTGGCAGCCATGGGGTCTCACATTCGTGAGTACTCACATATACTTGTTCTCTCATTCCGATCACACATACAGATGCAATTCGCGCAAAATTTTCTGAAAATGATGTTCACAGTTGATAAAATTACCGAGTGTCAACCAGCAATTTACCAAAACTACCAAAATGGATGTGAAGACCCTTAGTGTAACATTAGCATATACTAACTGATAGATAATTTTGACTGAACAAATTCCCTCTCCTACTCTCTGTCTCTTTCAAATCAGTGTCAGTAGTGCAAATTAACTATATGGTTACAATTCTAGAACAAATTTATTATAACTAAACGCACGGTCGTAGAACAAAACTAGATAAATGCATGGTTGTATTTTGGATTACGTTTTCCTGCAACAAATTTTTTACATACATATGTACATATGTAATTTGGTGGAAAAACTAAAATAAAAAATCGTGATTACGGGGGAAAAATCATCAAATCGTCATTGAGCTAAAAACACGTCAAAATGACGACGATATCGTCAATTTGGCAACGCTGGTCGGCATACTAGCCCATTCAAACGATTCAATAAGTAGGACTGTGTGCATTGCTCAGCTGGCGCTCTTCGTATGTGAAACACACATGTGCTCAGAGAGCGCTCAGCATTCTTTAGGGGTGGCTCACAAGCATGAATATGTTCCGCTCGCAAACCAAATCGTGGTTGCCTCAACTAAGATTTGGTAACTATGACCATTTTTTGAAAGAAAGCTGACCTGCATTAGCAGAGCTCAATAACATCCTTTTATGAACCATACGTTAAGTTGAATGGAATTTGTAGAAATATGCTTCAAAGTAGGGACACGAATTTCGATACGATACGATACCTATCGATACTTTTGGCATTCGATACCGATATTTTCTACTCGATAGTTTTAAAACGATATTTTTTGGAAAGATATTTTTTCGAATGTCATAAACTCACATTCCAACACTGAGGGAAAAAATGTTAGAATTAAAAAAATAAAAAAAAATAAAAAAAGACGCAGACGAAAATGAAATACCCGGAGCAGGTATTAAATATATGTTTTTCACCTTTCCGAAAGCTACCGCTACATGGTAAACCGGGGTGTATCCATTTTGAGTAAATTAGCGTCCTTAAATTTCGAAATATTGAAGTTTCAAGCATATCTGAAATTTACTGTTATATGAAAAGCGGCCGTAATTTTAGTTCGATTTCAATAAGTTTCAACGTTTTGCTTCTATGTGGCAAGTACAATAACCACACCGAGTTTGGTACAAATTGGTAGAACGGTTACCGA